ATCTCAGCTCCGTACTTGGCCAGTGGGCCTCTCCCTCCCCCTTAGATAGGAAGCAGAGTTCCTCCTGATGGGCTGTCCCCCTTTGGGGCTGGTCAAAAATGTACACTCCCAGTCCTGGGGTCTGGAGTGAGGCTGGTGGACTGTGTTGGATAAATGCCCCATTGTGGTCAGCTGGGGTGGCCAGCGGTTTCCTGGAGATACCGGACAGGGTGAGAGGTGGGTGAGCCTAGTAGGTGGTGGGAGGGGGGAGCCCCCGTTTGCTGTTGTCCTAGGTCACTGGTCCAGAGATAAGAGAGACCTGCGTGTCCTTGTTCACTGGAACACTTCTGAGGTGCCACTTGTGGAGCCTGCACAGCGAGCACCCCACTTCCACAGTGTGGGGTCTCGGGGTCCTGCCTGCTCTGGATGCTCAGTCACGGGAGACATGGGGTCATGTGGATCGACGAGACATGTCGGCTGTGACCGCGTTCCCCAGGCTGGCCCACCACCAGTGCTTTCCTGTGCTGAGTGGCCAGCAACGGGGGACAGAGGGAGCAGATGGCGGGAGCCAGGAGAGCAGCAGCTGAGGCAGGAGGGCTTTGGTCCTCCCAGATCATCTCCTAAGTAGCTGACCTCCACCTGAAACCCCACAGGCTGGGCCTCCCTGGCCACCCCTGCCTGGGACCCTTCTCTCCGCCAGGCATCCTTCCTCCCCACCTCCTCCAGGGCTAGTCCTGCAGGGGAACTCCAGCCCCCACCCATCTGCGTGGGGCTCTGAGCTCCTTCCACGTGGCCACACTGTGCGGCTGGCGGCTCACTCCTCTTTGGTCAGTGACCCAAGCACAGGTCCAGAGGGCAGGGGAAGGAAGAGGGAGTTTGTCAGTCTGGAGAAGAAGGACCAGGCTCCCGGGAAATCCAGAGTGGAGGGGCCATCAGCTTCCTAAGCTAGGTCCAGCAACAGGCTGGTGTGTGCCCACTCATCACACTCCCTCCTGTAGACCTGCTTCGCGCTGGACACCCTGGGCACCACATGCATGATCGTATATCAGGTAAACAGGAAAATTCACGCACTAGATAGCCTACAAACTGTGGATTGGGGTTCAGAACTTGTAGTTCTGTTCTCCTCTGGGCCCGCTGGCATAAACAAAGTTTGGAGTTCTCCCTTCCTAGTGCTGCCTGCTGCTTCCTGCCAGTCTGTTTCCGCAACAAAACACGTGGGTATTCATACTGGACAGGAGTCTTCTGTACGGTAATCGTATCACAAACATCTTGTCTCACTGTGTGATTCCCCTTTTCCTTTTAACCTTCCCAATTGTTTAAATATATTTTTTTAGTTGTAGATGTATACAATACCTTTATTTTATTTATTTATTTTTATGTGGTGCTGAGGATCAAAACCAGCACCTCACATGTGCCAGGTGAGCACTCTACCGCTGAGCTACAACCCCAGCCAGTAATTGTTTTTTTTTTTTTAAAAGCAATATTTCTTAATTTTAATGTAACACGTGTTACCTTAATGTGTCCTGGGTTCACGGATATATCCTCTTGTTCCCTAGAAGCACAACGCAAGAATCCATGAGATACTGCTACCCACCACTAGAATGGCTGACACTGAAGCCAAGCCAGGTCCACTGGCACCTACCTGTAATCCGGGCTACTCCACTGGGGAGGCTGAGGCAGAAAGATCACAGGTTCAAGGTTACCCTCAGCAACTTAAGAGACCCTGTCTCAAAATAAATAGAAAGGGCCGGGCGTGTGGCTCAGTGTGGGGCACCCTGGTGTCATCCCTGGTACTGGGAGGAAGAAAAGGCGAGGTGAGGTGGAGGTACCAGGTGACTCCAGCAATGCCCACGTCAGCCGAGAGCTGGTGCTCACGGTGGACAGACTGAGGAACACAGCAGAGATGGGTGGACACGGCGCCTCAGAACAGGGCAGGCTGCACACACACAGGCTTGGACATGCAGGCCGCCCTCTGTGCTCACTCAGGGGATTCTGAGCCCCCGGACACTTGGGATTCGTATCCTTTTCCCAGTATCCTTCAATAGGTGTCCTACCAAACAAACCAACAACCTCCGCCGGGCTGGGACGTGGCCCGGAGGTAGAGCGCTTGCCCTGCCTGCCCGAGGCCCTGGGTTCAATTCCCAGCTGGGATGTTGACCACAGGAAACAAACAGAGCTGAGGACCCTGGGTTCTGGAAATGAAGTGTCTGAATGACTCAGAAAACGTGAATCACAGTCTCACACATGAAGGTGCTCCATGCTCTCTTTCAAGGAATGAAAGCCCAAGGCTTCAGGACTCAGAAATGCAGATGGCCCCTGGAAGCTGGTGGTCAGGATTCCCAGGAGATGGGGCTTCAGAGGATTTTGCTTCTTCAGCTTATACCTGTTAAAAAAAGTGAGCAAACAAACAAAACTCAATAAAACACGACCTTTGTACAGAGACAAAGCTGTTTTCAAGGAGACAGATGGATGCTGTGTCGCTGGGGCTCGTCCTGCACACACAGGACGAGGACAGGGCCCTGGAGTCATGGCTGCAAAGTGGCCCATGAAGGGAAAGGACACAGCAGGTGGGAGGAGACCTTTCTGAAGCTTGAAGCGAGCTGCTCCGTTCTGGGCGTCTGAAATTCTTCACACTGAAGCTGGAGCTCTGGCCAAGGTCAGTTACTTCAAGGGTAGCCTGAACCCCCCTGTCTCCACGCGGCTTGGCAAGGCCCTGAGCCTGGGAATCTGCCTCACTCAGCGCGAGCGTCTCTCAGCCCAGGCCTTCTCTGCAAGGCTAGATGACCCCACAGGTTACTTCTCTTCCTTACCTTGTCTTAGTGAAGGAGGAGGGACCGGAGGAAGGAGGGACAGAGGGAGGGGGTGGAGAAGGGGGGCAAGAGGGTAGAGGAAAGGGAGGAGGGACGACAGGAGGGTGGAAGGACTGAAGGGGCAGGGGCGGGAGGCTGGAGGGGCTGAGTTTCCATGTTCTCCACTGGTTTGTATCAAGAAGGGAAATGTAGGGAGGCTGAGTGGGAGGCAGCCCTCCCTTGGTACTGATGTTTCAAGTTTTAGTTGCTTTTTCTTCCACACTTGCCACTGGATGTCACTGAGTAAGCACCTCAGTGTTTATTCTGGTCAATGAAATGTCCCAGAATTATTGTGGAAATAGTTAGTAGTGAAGAACTTTTTCACTTTTTCTTTCTTTTTTGGACTGGGGACTCAACCCAGGGGTGTTCCACCATTGAGCAACCTCCCCAGCCTTTCTTTTTGGCCTAGAACTTGCGATCCTCCTGCCTCAACCTCCTGAGTCCCAGGGCTGACAGGCCTGTGCCACCATGCCTGGCTGGAAGGGTATTTTAAAATTCAGTTCTCTTCACTAAAATTGCTCAAGCTGTGCCAGGGTGTGGAGACCGAAGCCTCCAGCCGTTCTTGGGTTTCACAATTGTGTCCGAGTAGCTGATGCTTCCTTTTGGAAATTTAAGCCTGACTCAGTCACAAAGGGAACCAGGGACCAGATACGGGATTTAGGCCTAAATCCAACCCAGAGGATGGCATGTGCTCCTCTTGGGAGGTTGGAGGAAAGGAAAATGCTACAAGAAGTGACACCTTGAAGGGCTTCCAGACCCGCCTGTGGGCCTTGATGCCACTGCACCAGTGTCCTGGCCCTGAGCTGGCCACAGCACAGACTGGCTTTAGTGCAGGGAGACAGCCTCTGACCCAGAGCTGCAGGGACCCCTTCTCCTTCCTGGAACACAGAGGCCCACTTGGAACTCCAGTGGGGTGGCCGCAGGAGAGAGGAAGGTGGGGACTCCTGCACCCCACGCCTTCCTTCTGGGACCACTGGAGAACGTCAGCTGAGAGGCTAAGCACAAAAGCAGGCACGGCAGGGCACCCTGTCGCCCAGTGACACGGGAGACTGAGGCAGGAGGAGTCCAAGCTCAAGGCCAGCCTCAGCCCCTCAGGGAGACCCTATATCAAAATTTGAAAAAAAAAAGATAAAGGGGGAGATGCTGGGATGTAGCTCAGTGGTTGAGAACTCCTGGATTTAATACTCAGCATCAAAGAAATTAAGAGTAGGCTGGGGCTCAGTTCAGTAACAGAGCACTTGCCTCGCACATGTGACGCACTGGGTTCCATACTCAGCACCACATAAATAAAATAAAATAAATGATAAAAAAGTTAAGAGTAAGGAAGGGAACTTGGTGGATGAGACAAAGCAGTTATTCCCAGTGGTGTCTGAATTTTTTCCTGCTTATGAAGAGAGAAAATAGTGAATGCTTTATCACAAGCCCTTAGGTGTATTAGGTCACGCCAATTAGAAACTCCTTCACACAGACAGCAGGAGACGCATCAGTCACTGCGTAAAGGAAATCATATTAAAAGGAAAAATGTAATGATACCAAAAAGCTTCCCTATCAATTTCCTCAGCTGGGGTCAGAAAATGTGATCCTATGTTCCAAAATGAAAAATTAGATACTGCTCATAACCACCCAAGTTTTGAGTTGAGTTCAAAAGAAGTTCCTATTTTTAAAACCTGGAATCACCTGGCTGACCACGCAGATCAGCTGACGGGATCCATTCCTGCTTCTAAGACAACTGTAGTGCAGCCTCTCTTCCCTGTTTTTTTATTGGTACCAGGGACTGAACTCAGAGGCATTCGATCACTGAGCCTCATCCCAGCCCTATTTTGTATTTTATCTAGACACAGGGTCTCACTGAGTTGCTTAGTGCCTTGCTTTTGGTGGAGCTGGCTTTGAACTCACAACCCTCCTGCCTCAGCCTCTCAAGCTGCTGGGATTATAGGCATGTGCCACTGTACCTGACTCCTCCCCCTTCGTGACTGTGGCTGCGAGGTTCCTGGCTGACTGGCAATGTCAGTTATTCCCACTGTGGGACTGGGGCTTTGGAGTACCAGAGCACCAAAGCCCGGCTCTCAAACTTAGCTGGGGACGGCACTGTGCACTCTGCCTCACTGCAGGACCTCTGGCAGACACTGGCTCAAGCAGGATAAACACACGCACACATTGGAGTATAACAAGTGAGCTTTTTTTTTTTTTTTTAATAGTTCATAAGCCTTAAAAAGTATCCTCTCCAGATTATAAAAGGTTAGTTAAAACTGTTTAATAGGAACAATCTTGGACAAGCAGAAATAGCTCTGATTTGTAAGATGACAGCAACATATGACTGAGAGAATCCGCAGGGACCGGGCAGTCTGGGCCTCTCTCGGCCTCTCCCCTGCAACGCTGCTGTCTGGTGTGCTGCTCTCCACGGCACAGGCCACTTCAGCTCTCCCCAGGCTTCAACTCTGCTTTAAAAATAGGTTTTCTTCTTCAGTGTAGTGGAAATGCCCCTCGAGCGGTCACCGTGGCCCCTGCTCAGCACAGGTGCAGAACAGCTTTGTTGATCTCTGGGTTTGTCCAGTCATTCCGAATGTCATCCAGGTGGTTATCGAAATCCACGAGCGTCTCGTAGGACCGGCTGTCCAGGAGTGAGGCTGAGATCCTCTGCGCCTCGGGCCAATCCTCACAGTAGTCACTGCGGGTGAGACATGGAGAGGTCAGCCTCTAGCAGGCGCCTCCAACAGCGTCTGGGGAAGACCAGCCCCCCCACCCTCCCCCGTGTTGTATAAAGGACAGGAGGGAGTTGGCAGTGTAAACACACAGAGTGGACGCAAAGCACGCTGCACATGAAATGCTGGGAAACCAGAGGCAGGAAGACTGCAGCACCACCCAGGCTCCCCTTGGCTTGGAGGCCTCAGGGGCCCAGCCTCACTCCTCCTGGAGCTGGGGAATGCGGCACCCAAGGGGACGGGCACTCACTGGTGTGGGTCTCTGCACCGCCACCTGTTCTCCTGCTGCTCATACACATGGATCGTGGGTGCCACACAGTCCATCGTAAACCTGGTGTTGTCCACCTGAGCACGAGGTGAAAGACACAGCATGAACAGGGCAGGCGTGAGGACAGACACCACTTCTCCCTCCCTCCTGCCCAGAACTCTGCAGGAATCAGGGCTGCAAACAGCTCACCCCTTCCTCCCCAGGGAGGGAAGTGCTGGCTGTCCTAACAGGAGGGTCCTCACCTCTGCATGGGCACCAGTCACCTGGAAGCACCCAGAACATGGCCTGCTGCCTCCACTCCACTCTGTGTTCTGGACTCATGGGCTGGGTGGGGCCTAGAATCTGCACTTCTAACGGGCTTCCAGGTGGTGGTGGCAGGGGGACCTCACTGTAAGGACCTGAACTGAAAAGACCCTCTCTGGATATCCTTGTGCTGTGTGGGCAGCGGTACCCAAACCACAGTGCAGGGGGAGGGTGCTGCAGGAGGTAACGGCGGCCCTGGAGGAGCGGGTGGGAGAGCCACCCAAGGAATGCACAGAGATGCTCCACGGGTGCAGCCCGCCAGCAGAGCCAAGCGGCTTACCATGATGAGAGCAGTGTCACTGAAGCCCTCGGCGATCCTGGAGGCCACCTTCTCGGCAACCTGGTTTGGACTACAGACAAGAGCCAGTGAGTTCTACTCCATTCTAGTCCATGCCATCTGACACTGTTATGTCCATATAAGCATGTCACCACCACTCAGAGCTAACCAGCAATGACAGAAAGGATGATGCAGATGACAGGCTGTTTGCTGGCCCCAGGGAGGTGACCATGGGCACCTTGTCCGAAGCCAGTCCTGCTTTCCTTCTCCTGCAAGCCCTTCTAGGGGGAGCTGGAGGACTGCTTCTGAGCAGGAAGGCTCCCGAGCCTGGTGGAGAGCTTCCTGAGCAGCAGAGGAACCCCCTGCTGGGCACTCCCAGTGGTGCCAGCCCCTCCCTCTGTCCACCACCAGACCGGGCATCTACTGCAATAAGTCACAGAGATCTCATGGCTGCAGGCAACCCAGTCGTCTTAAAATTTGTTTTTAAAATCATAAGCCATTCCACATGTTCCGGAAGACCACGAGCCTGCCAAGTGCTGGCCCTGGCCACCCAACCTTGATAAGTGACGCTGTCTACCTCACATCAACAGAGCTAATTATGGAGTGGCTCCCAGGTATCTTGCTACCTCCAGTTATGCTTCTGCCCCGTCTCAGGAGGGGCTTCGTGCCCACAGCCCACCCACTCTGGCCTTCTCCTGGGGCTGTGTTCATAACCTCTCTCTGCTCATGGCTCCAGCCTCTGAGGACGCCGCCAGTTGGTGCTGCTGCCTTCGGGTGCCTACCCCTGTTCCTGATCCTGCCTCCTCCCTCTCCCTGCTGCCCCTTTAGCTCAGGCCATCGCTGTGGCACCAGCTTTCTGACTCTCCCCCAATTTCTAGGCACTTCTTGTCCAGCACATCCTGAAAACATTTCTTGGGTCAACTTTCCTAAAGGGAACTGGTGCGGTGCCCGTTGTGGCCACGCCCCTGCAGACGCTGCTCCCTCACCTGTGCACTCACGGCTGCTGTTCTCAGGGGCAGGCTCAGGCTGCTTCTCCTACAGGGAAGATAGACCCTGGTGTGGAGGGTTGGGAGCTGGGCTGCAGGCTGCCCTACTCACACTGTCCCCATCTGGCCTTCCAGGCCCAGCCCTGCTTATTTAATTCTGTCCTCTCCACCCCCATATAGACTGGCCAGACGGGCCTGGGTCAGGTCCCCTCCCTCTTAGGCTCTGAGGCTCTAAGATGTTCCAACATGGGGGCTTGTAGGCAGTTTCTTTTTTGTGTATCTTATTTTCCCTGCACAGTTTCAGCTTGAGTAGGGACTGAGCTATATATGAATCTTAATAACCATAAAAATACACTGTGAGTTCATTTAAAGAAACATGCTATAGGGGCTGAGGGTAGCTCAGGGGTAGAGTGTTTGCCTAGTACATGCAAGGTCATGGGTTCAATCCCCACAGCACCATGAATAAAATAAAATAATAAAAAGGAAATACATGATAGTTATAATCCTTTCCTTGTGACTGGGCTAAAACAAGCAGATTAATATCATTTTATAGAAACAATTTCATCTGATTATTCCGCTTTCAATTTGAAGGGATGCAGCAAGTCTACAACTGACAAAGAAAAAATGGGAGCTATGGGCAGGTTTCCAGGGGGCCCACTGTGGTGCGCAGGAACTCAGCACCAGGCCAGTTCCCAGCTCAGTGAGAAGGGGCAGGGAGTGCTGTTCTGCAGCTCGAGGCAAGCGGCAAGCAGCTCTCCACGCCCCTGCTGGCCTGCAGGACCTGCTAAGCTTGTCCCGAGCACTCAGCATGTCATGCCAGCCCTGACTTTTACTGGGAAGGGAGTGAAGAAATATTTGTGAAAAACAAGAACTGCCATTTCAGATGCCCATGACTCAAATCTAAAATTTACACTTTTGATGGCTAGGGATACGGCTCAGTTGGTAGAGTGTTTACTTCGCATGCACAAGGCCCTGGCTCAATTCCCAGCACCCCCCTCCCAAATACACACACACACACACACACACACACACACACACATTAGTGAACTGTCGATGTATTTGAAAGGGTTGCCTATTTTGTTTACTTTTTTGGTGTCATATTCTTTTTATTCTCAAGTACTGGTCTACCATGCCCACTCCTCAATGTAAGACCACCATACTGTACCACTCACACCAGTCATTTGTTTTCTACGGGTCTGCCTAAGTCAGCTGCCACAGAAAATGCAGGCACCCTGAGGGCAGAGCCCGCCTAGGTGCCTTCACCAGGAGGCCCAAAGCCAGTGCCACACACAACTGGCAGCTATATTTTAAAACTGAAAGCATTTTCTTGAGCATTCTCTCCAGGCCAGGACAACCTGCAGGGTACTGAACCATTCCCACATGAAATGTTAATTATGCCAGGTACAGTGCAGTGGTGCATGCCTGAAATCCCAGCAAGTTGGGAGGCTGAGGCAGGCGGATCCCAAGTTCAAGGCCAGCCTGGGCCACTTAATGAGACCCTCTCTTAAAAAACTCCCGAAGGCTGGGAGTTTGGCTTAGTGACAGAGTGTCCCTGGGTTCAATTCCCAGTATTGCCAAACACAATAAAATGATATAAAATGTTAATTATTAAGCAAAACACAGGCAATCACGAGATGACAGAATAAACCTTGACATACTGATTTTAGTTTAGGAAGCATTAAAACATCAACCAGTCTTTTAAAAAGTAATCGTAGCACAGGGCAGTGGCCACTGTGAACCGGACACAAGGCTCGACGGGTACGTGTTATCTCACCCTGTCCTCAGAGCTCTACCACAGAGCCCAAGGAGTGGCCTAGGATTTGAATTCAACTCTGCCTCCAAATCTCATGCCCTGAGACGCTGTTAACCGGGTGACATTTCTAGAAAAGAAGCAAGATTTTCAGGTAAAAGTGAGCAGCGTGGAAGAGTGAAGGGACCATGACCCCAGCTCCTGACTTCCAAGTTGCATAGCCTCTGTGAAGCTACTGTCCCAAGCCCCTTCACCTGCACACGATGAGGACCCAAAGGGGCAGCCACACAGGCTTCCTCCTCTGAGCCCAGCAACAGCAGGGGTGGGTGTACTCAGGTCTGGGAGAGACTTGTGGGGTAACTAACCTCTCCAGCACCCTCAGCTAAGGTTCCAGTGCTCCCCGAGGGCGGGCCTGACCAGTGGAGGTGAGCACATGGCTGGGGATGCAAAGCCTCCTAGGTGTGCCGGGAAGGGGCCGGGACTTTGTGAGGCACAGAGAAATCCCAGAGGCCAAATGGCAGAAAACAGTCCTGGCAAGGTGGTTCCAGGCAGAGCTGGAAGTCGGTCAGGACAGCAGCAGGAAGATAAGACAGGACAGGCTGTGAGCCAGACTTCTCCTGCACAAAGGAGAGGACCAGGGAGCCTGGGCATGTAGGCCGCGGCCTCCTCGGGTCAGGGAGGCATCCATGCTACCTGACAATCCCTCTTGCCCACTCTCCTTTCCCGTCTGTGGGAGCAGCCAAAGGAGACACCGTGTGGTCCAGGCGAGCCCCTGGCCAAGGACAGTTCCTAACTAATCACAGAATAAAGTTCAAATGCTTTTAGCATGGGGAACCCTCAGGTTCAGCCCACCCACCTGCATAGCCTGGCACATCCCTCCTTGTGGTGCAAGCTGTCCTGCCCCACTCCTGCCTTGCTCCTACCTGTCTTCATCCTGCAGTCTCCTGGCCAAAAACGCTCTGGCCCTCTGGTCTCCAAGATTGCCCTGAAGCCCCTCCCTGGGGCTTCCTGGGCGATGCCACTGCGTGTGAATCCTCCTGGCTCTTGCTGCCATGGTGCTCCTCACTTCCTGGCCCAGGGTCTGCTCCCACACCACAGGACTTTCACACTCAACTAGCCACAGCAGGCAGGACGGGGGTTTCACCTGACCTAGCATGGAGCTGGCCTATGTGGGGTCCACACCTTGTCAATCTTTCCATGAGACAAGGACCAAAATGGACATGGTCCTAAGGGGGTGCTCACTCATGGATGGACAAGCAGACAGAGTCACCAACACAGAGGGAGGATGAAATCACAAAGGAGGTCCCAGAAGGACTGAGGTCCATGAGGGATGCCCTGAAGCAAGAGGAGAGGCACTGGGCTCAGGGAAGAGCAGAGGCTGGGAGAGCTGGCAAGTTCATGTGCCCAGGTGCCTCTGTGTTCTAAGCCACCAGCAGGGGTCTGGTCAGACTCCACATGAGCCCGCATCTTTCTGATCATCCACCTCCCCTGGTGCTGTGCCAGGACCCAGTCCACGGAGGGCCACATGGTTAAGCCTCTCCAGAACTGCTGTGCCTCACAGGTGGGCAAGCTTGGTCGCTAGCTTTCTGAATTACTTCCAGAGTGCTTTTGAGGGCACCCTATGGCAAAAGTGGACCCCGCTCCAGAGGCCTTCAATGCATCCGAGTCTCTGGACTCTGGGTCTGTCAGCTGTATCTGACAAGGCAGGAAATCCCGTTGCATACTGTGGGGACACTTTCCAGGCGCCCTTGGCTTCAGCCAAAGGAAGCCTATGGAGGCCATCAGAGAAGAGAGATGTCAGATCTGTGTGTGGCCCAAGCACAAACCTAGCTGGCTGCTGGCCACATCCCTTAGCCAAATGGCATTACCCAGCTCCTTTCTTACAGACCTTGGAGGAGAAGGGACAGTGACACCCCTTGTGGCTAGGTTTGTCAACACATGTTCTATTGTGAGTTCTCCTAGGTACAGCCCACCCCTTTAGAGGCAGCTCAGGTAGGAATGTGTCCCCTGTTTTCTCTCAGGACCCAGGCCCATGCAGACAGTCGACTTCTCAGGTGAGTGAGAACGCTGATGGGGAAATCTCTGGTTAAAAGGAGCTAGGAGACAATTAGGGCAGCAAAGACCACATGTCCATCATAGCACCAGACCCAAGCGCCCAAGCCTAGAGCTGCCTGTTCATCCCCCTCCTGGCTTGGACTTGGGAGGCAGCAGGCTGCAGGCAACAGAAAGCCGGGCCCCTGACTGCTTCCACTGAGCGAATACCTCCAAGCAAAACAAAGACGACAGGACACAGAATCCCAGAGTTAATCTAAATGTTTATGACTTCTGTTGTTTGGAAGCATCTGCACGGCAGCGACTGACCTTCACACACCATCAACACACACGGAGGGTGGGGGGCACAGCTCTGACTGCACACTGGAGCCTGTGCCTCCACAGCAGGCTCCTGCCAGCACTGCCTGGCCAGCCTGCTGGGGTTCGTACCACATACCTGGCGTCCTTCACTCGTTCATTAGCTTGATAATAACCAGCAATCACGTAGCTATTATCTTTGCACCATGAATCAATCTGAAAGAGGAGCACAAATTGGGAAGATGAATGACTTTCACTTAAATGTAGAATCTCAATAACCACAGGAGACCCTCCCTTAAGTGCTGGGACAAGACATGACATAATCCTGGCACCCTTCTCCCCAGAAGAAAGGCCACGACGGTGAGATGGAAAAACCAAGTCTCAAGCTGGCCTGGTGGTGCCGTGAGCTCTTAGGAGGCTGAGCAGAAGGCTCCCATGCTTGAGGTCAGCCAGGACAACTTAGCAAGACCATGTCTCAAACATAAACAAAAACCAAATCACAGAGGCCAGGGGGACAGAAGGAAGAGGGCCTCCGACAGTGCGCTGTGCTGGCTAGAGGGCCACTGGGCTTGCTGGAGGGAGACCCCTTGTTGACAGGCCCTGGGTGGTTGCAGCACCGTGGGGAGCTACTCACCTTCTCTTATGATACACAGTAGTGGGCATTCTGGGGCAAGCACAGGCCTTGCCATCACCTAAACAGCCCTTCATAGCGGAGGGAACTAAAGCTCAGAGGCCCAGGACCCAGATCCCAGCACTCAGCCACACGGAGAGATGCCTTGCACTGGGCATGGGGCACATGGGCAGGCAGCGGGCACAAGCACACACACCAAGTCCTGGCAGTGTGCTCTTACAAATGGAAGCCTGGAAGACTTTAAAGTTTCTGTTCTGTTTTTTTTTCCCTGTTGTTGTTATTGTTTTTGGTACCAGGGATTGAACCCAGGGGCGCTTAACCACTGGGCCACATCCCCAGCCCTATTTTATATTTTATTTAGAGACAGGGTCTTGCTGAGTTGCTTAGGGCCTCGCCAAGTTGAGGCTGGCTTTGAATTCGTGATCCCCTGCCTCAGCCTCCCAGCTGCTGAGAGGACAGGTGTGAGCCACTGTGGCCCGCCTCTGTTCTTTTTTTTTTTTTTTTGGTCTCTTGGGTATTAGGGATTGAACTTAGGGGCTCTAGTCTACTTAGCCACATGCCCAGCCCTATTTTGTACTTTATTTAGAGACCGGGTCTCACTGAGTTGTTTAGCACCTCGCTTTTGCTGAGGTTGGCTTTGAACTCACGCTCCTCCTGCCTCAGCTTCTCGAGCCACTGGGATGACAGGCGTGTGCCCCATACCCTGCTCTGCTCTGTTCTAATACATGGCTCTTCTCTTGTCAGATTCAGCCTCAGGTCTAATGCCATTATTAAAAACTACAAAAGGTCATCTGGCTTTGCCATAATGGCACTTTAAATATATTGTGATAAATGCTATTTTTGTTCTGAAGATGAGGAAATAAGATGGATACCTCTCTCTTTTTTTTTTTTTAGTGAATTAACTGGTTAAAAATATGTGTCTGTATAAACGTGACCCTAATGCCATTTCCTCAATTCTGGGTCCCTACCCAGTCTGCCTCATGACCAAAAGCAGACACTATATGACAGATCTGGTCTACGGGCCCCTGGCTCGAACAAGGACGAGAACACTTCTGGTCTCCTATGAGCTCACAGATTACCATATTGGGTCAAAACCAGGGCTCCCTGAACCGACTGGACATTCTGGTCATCCACCCAGAAGACCAGGGTAATGTGCCCAGAATATTTAGAATGGCTCCACCACCGAGACAGTGCTGCAAATCACTCCTAACTAAGCACATTTGTCTCTGTTGCCTCTTAAGGGAATAGGTTCTAGAAACTCTCTTGCTGCTTAGAACAATTTCTTCTATTTTTTCCCTCAAACTTATCTCAATGTAGCATCAAGGGCCTCACTCTAAATTTGGGATTTGGCCGTGTTCCCTGAACTCAAACCTGCACAATGAGCTGGCCCTTTGGCGGAGTGCACCAGGCTGTTTTCAATCAAAGCTGGCCTCTGGAGTATGTCCTCACTGGAGGTGACCCTTGCCTCTACCCACCTCTCCAGGGCAGGCTGTCCTTATTTCCAGGTCAGTTGGTTACCCTTTATTTCCCTACTGCCCTGGAGCAAAGTACCCAAACCTAGTGGCTTAGAACAGCACAAATTTTTTATCTTACAGGTCAGAAGTCTGGAACAGGTGAGCAGGCCTGGGGACCCTGTTTTTGGCAGGTGCCCACACTCCTGGGCTCATGGCCACACCAGTGCCTTCTGCCTCCACCTTCATTTGACCTCCTGCTCTCCCCTTGTAAGGGCCCTTGTGGGCTTCCGTGGAGAATCCAGGATAATCTCTCTACCCGGTGGCCCTTTCCTTAATCCTGCCTGTGAAGTCCTGTTAGCCATGTGAGGCCTGGAGATTAGAATGTGGGCCTCTTTTGGAGGGGGGTCTTATTCCGCTGACCACAGCTGAGCTACATTCACTCTAAGGGTGTGAAAAATGCCTTTGCTGATGACAACATCCCGAGGACCCCCGGCAGCAGTCTTTAATGCACAGTCCCTTTCCTCGGATGAGGCAAAGGCTCCAGACTTGCCCCCTTACCCCGCCCCTCACAAATACATATCACCCTGTATGGCCTCAGAACAGAGACAAGGCTGACACAGACGAGGGCTCCTGCAACAAATACAGCACACACCCCAGCCTACATTCTCCCTGCAGAACGCAAATTCCTATGTGAAACACCCCAACAAAAGTCCATCCAAATTCTAGCAGAAAAACAATGTCATGACCTGGAACATCTAGAGCTCTTGAAGTCAGGTCACAATGGCTCTGGCTTGGCTTCGAGAACTTTTCAATGACCCAAACAATAACCTAGTCAACGACTTAGATGCTGATGATTGAGATAGAAAATGGGCTAAGCCATCAGAGATCACAGAAGTAGGGTAAGTTTTAAGGATAGGGGAAGTGTTAGCTGGGCATGGTGGCCCAGGCCTGAAATCCCAGCAACTTAGGCAGCCAAGGCAGGAGGATTATAAGTTTGAAGCTAGTCTCAGTAACTTAATGAGACAGTCCCAAAATACAAATTCAAAGGGTCGGGGCTGGGGTTGTGGCTAAGTGATGAAGTGCTTGCCTGGCATGTGTGAGGCACAAGGTTTGATCCTTAGCACCACATAAAATAAAGAAAACAAAGGTACTGTGTCCATCTACAACTAAAAAGCAGGGGTGGTGGGTGCGCTGAGGATACAGCTGAGTGGTTAAGCACCCCGGGCTCAATCCCCAGTACCAAAAAAGGGAAGCGTTTTCCCTGGTAGCCTAGAATGTGGACTAGACATCAGGTGAGTGGCTTGCAATGAGGGAGCTGGTGTGAGGAGCGAGCTGGACAGGTGGAGGTGGGGCAGGCCAGCCTGGGGTGACCCTGGAACCGAAGGGCTCATCCAGGAAGAGCTGGGGTGGGTGTAAGTGGCAGCCTACATGAGGGAACTTGTTCCTTCCCACATGGTGCAAGACAAGGTGTAACTGTTTGTTCCATCTCTGCTCCCAATGACTGTGCTTCTCCCTTCCTGGACTTGATGTAGGATACCTCATGCCTCTGTCATGCATCTTATGAAAACTTAAAATGAAAATAGAAGTTCAGAGCAAATTTAAAGTTCTGTGAAACTTGTCAGTTTAGTAAAACTGATCCTGAATACAGTGCCAATCACTCGGGTACTTCACTTCTCAAAGGGAAAGGACACTTGCACCTTGGCATGCGCCTGCTCTAGACCAACCCCTTCATTAGACCCTGCACAGAGAAAGTGTTCTCTCTGCAAGCTTGCTCATGCTTTGCACATGAGTAACTCTAATCTTCTGAGCTCTGTCACCTGTGCCAGGTAACTATACAGTAGCTATCGAATAGAAAAGCCAGGTCCTGGCAAGACAGCCACTCTGGGGGCACCATATCCACCAAGTGGAGGTAACTGTGAGGCCCTCCTGTGTGTAGGACAGCAGGCCCTGGCGCTCAGGAGTAGCGGGGCTGTGGGTCTTAAATTCGAGAGCACCTCAAGGCCACCCATCTATTTTGGGGATGAAAAGGACCTCCATCTAAAAGAAAAGAGCTGAGGATTGAACCCAGGGCCTCGCATGTGCTAGGAGGTAAATGGGATGGGGAGGAAGGGCGAAGTACTGAAAAGGGGACTTGGAGCAGCCAGCACACAAATCCTGGAGCTGCACAGGGAGTGGAGAGCTGGACAACAGCAGCTGAGCACAGCAGCACAGAGCAGGAGCCCGGGGAAGCAGCAGAAGAGTTCTGGCCTCAGCCCTTGGCAACAGTGAGAAACCACAGAGAGCTGCCCCAGAGGCAGAAATGAAAGTGAGGGGAACGGAGAGAGAGCTTAGAGAAACAGCAGGTTGATGTGAGTTTTCCTACTCACATTTTATCGGTTTTTGCCATTAGAAATAATTCTTTCACTACCTACGTCAAAGAACCATAAGGATAAATAACAGGCACAAGTACTTAAAAAAATAAAAAACAGGATTTTTTAAAAATGGAAAATTATAATGAAAAGCCTTTCAAAGGAATCTAATGTTGCCCTCTGATGGACTGCATTTCGTCAGTCTTACCCACTTATCAAAAATAATTCCACGTGGATCAGGAAAGAGCTGCATGGATAAAAAGTTCAAGGCCGGCCTGGGCAGCTTAGTAAGATTCCACCTCAAAGGGAAAAAGGGGGCTGGGGATGTCACTCAATGGTAGGGCACTTGCCAGGCATGCACAAGGCCCTGGTTTCCATTCCCAGTACTGGAAGGAAGGCAGGAAAGGAAAAAACAAAACAAAGAGAAGAAAGAGCCATGAGATTATGGCTGTGTTCATAAAACAGTTGCACCGATTTAGCTGCTTTAATCCAAAATTCGTCTCCTATAGCAAATACGCTGATAAACCATAGCTCCAAAACCTGACACTCTTCATGGCTTTTAGGCTATATGGTCACTTGGTCAAAAAGTAAATAATATAAATTTAAATGGCTTAATTTTAACATAAAAATTTTGAATGGGGTGAAACTGGGTTTTCCTCCATGACTCCTGAGAAGCACCTCATCTGTACTGGACCGGCATCTTTTTCATATCTGTCAACTGCTGAAGCTATGCCCCAAAGTTTTGGAGAACATAAGAAAAATCAGCATAAACAACCACAATTCAGAGGACAAAACCTGCGGTCTCTGACTGAGAGGAGGTCACTGCAGGAAGTCTAACTTGGACATGATGCTGCCAGAGAGGAAACTCTCACAATGAAAGGAGCACCTGGACTGGCAGTCTGCAGCCAGAGAGCGACAGGCTGGGAAGTAGGATCAAAGGGGCCCTGCAGGCGATATCTATACATGCATGCGACACAAGTGGCTGGGCTTGAGAGTCGAGGCCCTCTTTGAGCAGCTTCTTCCCCAGCTAAGTGGCTTGGGAGGCAGCCCTGCTCCTTGGGGAAGGTTTCAGTGAAGGTGACTCAAATGGTTGTTTACGTTACTATGCTCAGTTCTCTCAGGTACTGAATCCGCACACCAGAATGGGAATGTAACCTTTTTTTAAAAAATATTTATTTGTTTTTTAGTTGTAGCTGAACACAATATCTTTATTTTATTTATTTATATGTGGTGCTGAGGATTGAACCCAGGGCCTCGCATGTGCTAGGTGAGGGCGCTGGGCCACAAGCCCAGCCCCGTGCTGAAGAATTCCTAATTGTCACTGGACATCCCCCGTGAAGTTCCAGTTCTTAAGACAGGACTTTCCTCTGACCTTCTGGGTCCTCCTCTGCCCACCCCACAAAAGTGAGGCCAGGCTTCTCACAGCATAAGACCTCACGGCCTCAGGCACTGTGAGGCTCCTGGCTCACAAAGACCATCTGCTGCCCAGAGCTCCAGGCCCATTTTACCGGACAGTACAAGGGTAATTTGACATGTGAGCATGTCAAATTCAACGAGTGCCACCAGTCATCCAACAGACCAATGATCACATTGGTCCTTCTGCCCCAAATCCACTCCCTTCCCTGCCTGGGTCTGCCAGGCCTGGTCCACTATTGCTTGTCCCTGTCTCAGGGCTGCCTGACTGTCCTGACTCCGCTGACTTCTCTCTCGAATCTCTCCCTTTATTTAGTTCTACCTGGGGCATTTCTTCTTTGGTGTAGTACTTGTCAGTTTGTACTAAGCGAATACTGCCCTGACCAGCAGCCATACGCCTCCCCAGCACAGGCCTGGTACAAAGTAGAGCGGCAAAACACATTTGTGTTGGACTGCATAACCCTACACATGACCGCTATTGCTGAAGCTGAAACCTTGCAAGTTGAAGCATCTCAAGATCCAATCAGCCTGCAATTACCTCGATAACAGAACAATTAAGACAGCTGGTTAGAAAGGTCTGGATTAACACATGCACTTGTGTTCTCCAGAGATGTTTTAAGTACCCATAACACATTTCTTCAGGAACCGAAATGGCTGAGTTTATAAATATCCTCAACTTTTCCATCTCCTGCTCAGAAATGATAGGAAGAAATGATGACTCAGTTTCACAGCCTCAAAGCTGTGCCCAGTAACCTTAGGATGATGGCGTGGAAGGCACCTCATGCTTGCCAGGAATTTGCTTTGGTGTCATAATTAGGTAAACTAAGAAAGGGACCCATTTTACTTGCATAGGTAAGGACTCCTATCTACACCTTCTCGAACTTTTCCTCGGGCGTCAATTCACTGGCCTGTGTTGGCATCAGAGTTCACGGTACAGGAAAAGCAGCACCTCGGCCGGGTGGGCGGGTTGAGGCGAGAGTTCACTTCCCCTGCGAGTTCCCACAACTCGACGGGACGTGTAGACGTTCTCCCCTCGGTTCATCCCGGTACCCGAAAGCTGCGACCTGAGGCCAGCCGGGGCGAGCTTCCGGCACCGCGGCCCTGGTGCCCACCCGACCAGCTCCGCACGCAGAGACCCAGAGCCCGGCGCCGGGGCTGCCTGTGCCCCTGCTTCACGCCACAAAAACCCTTTAGCTTTAAACCCTCGGGGGCATTCTAGGCAAGTCGCCGCCACCACGGGCACTCGTCCTCCTGACCCAGGGCGCAGGCACCCTCCGGGGGGGCAAGGCCCGAGGTGCCAGCGCCGCCCTCTGCTCGCGGCGCCGGGGCGCCCACCTGCCAGGGCGCCGGCGACATCCGACGGGCCCGCGGAGCGCGGGGGGACTCGCGGCCTTCCCGCGCTTACCAGGGTGAGGGCCACCTCCAGCATGGGCGCCAGGGCCAGCGTGCCGTGGAAGAGGGGGATGCAGTCCACGAAGAGGGTGTGGGGGGCGCCCGGGCCGCCCAGCGGCAGGTGCTCCTTGCGCGGCTTCTGCTTCTCGGCCACCAGCAGCCCGTTGACGGCGCAGTGCGGGTACTTGGCGCCGTGCAGCAGCATCTTGCAGTAGGCCTGGGTGGTCAGCTTCACCCCGGGCATGCTGAGCCCGGCGGCCCCG